CCATTTTCAACCCTCCTATTATGAGTTGCCACAGATTCACTCATCTACAGCATATTTCCCTCTTCAGTTGTACAAATCGGGATGGATATCCTTTGCACTGGGATTTGCTTTCGGCGGCCAGCAATGTGGCGCTCCGAGTTTTCCCTGAAGTCGTAAAAAGTCATCGTAGTGTGGCAGAACTTGTATTGCCGTAGTACATGAGGGTCGGGGGCTTGGAGGTCATTACCGTCCAGCCTTAAGTACCCGAAGACGTAAACAAGCTATCAAAGTATTACAAATGAACTTCTACATTGAAACAGGACTTTGTTAATGAAAAAACACTTTCTGCTTGGGGAAAAAAATGCGTGAAATCCTCAAGCGTACGCACAAAATTGTGATTTGAAGGACATATTTAATTATGTATTCCCTCAAATTGGATGTTGTTCTTTCTAAACGTGCAAATCTGCACGTAGCTGTATTATGGACTTAAGAGGTAGCTCGAGGGGACGGGAGGTGGATCCATGCCTCATGTGTGGAGACCGAATCGTGGTAGTCCCTCTCCAACGCTCCTCGTGATTACTCCCTCTTATCTCGGTCGTCACAACTTTTCGAGGGAACTGAAGTCGCCCGTTGAGTTCGGAGGAATACGAATATTGTGCTTCCTTCATTAGGGGACAAAATCATTGGATGGAAGTCACAACACGCGAAGTGCACCCTGTCTTCTTTTCCCATTTCCTCATTCTCAAGTTCTTGCAACACAGGATGTTCCCCAGTTTTCCTTTCATTGTGCTCCACGAATAGCCGTTTTCATGGCGACGTTTGCAGACACTCCGTCCAGACTTGTTTTTTTAGCCTCATTCCCGTTTATTATGATGCGTAGCTTGGAGGTGGAGTAGTTGGCGAAAGTTGATGCGGTTTTGACAGTCACCATGGCTTCGGCTCTCTACAACAAGCATCTCCCTTCTAGGACGTTTTAGCCTGGTGGCCAGCTGGAGGAGATGAAATTTTTTTCTATTTAAATACCGATGTTTTGCACTTCTTGGGGGCTTAGGGGACTGGGTGATTTTCTAGTACCTACATGCTTCCTTGTATATCACCTTATTTTCCACTAGAAGCATCGTATAAAACCAACTTTTTGTTTCTACCTTGTCGTACTTTACAACTCGTATGCGCGCTTTGCTCCCATTTGCCCCCTCCTTATGACGACTATAGCTTCTCGGCCCCGTTGCGGTGCTTCATGTAGCAACGTCCAGTTTTTTTCTTTCATTCTCAGTTCTCTGACAGTTCATACATTGCCTTGTTTGTGGCCGGCATGATTTCTCCCCTGACCAGTTCCTCTTTTCAGCTCTGTGGCTATTTTCTGATCCCCCCCCCCACCTCAATGGATACAGAGTTCGCCACCTATTATCCACTGCATAAATAAAACAGTTGTCAGGGCTTTCTAAACTGATTGAATGTGTTTTCTTGTGTTACGCTTATCCCTCGTCCTCGTGGATAACACGAGTTGGTAAATCTCTCATTGAAGCGCTTTAAGCATTGGCCGTTTGACTTGAAGAGGTCAAGTGATAATGCAGCCCTGGAAGTTTTCGGCCATCCGGATTGTATCCAGGAGAGTGAAGAGTGATAAACCTCCTTAGTGTGGAGATAAGTAGAAAAGTGAGACTTTGTTTTCGCTCTAGAAGAAGGTGATGAACTTCCGTTCAATCTTGGGCCGCATGTGTCACATCAAACCTTTAACTGCTGTCTCGAATTAACCGATTGCCGACTTATCCGAGTTACCGAAGGGGAGCATCTTGTCTGTGAGCTTGAAATGGTGTTGGAGCACTTTCCCAGCACGTAGAGATGGTAACCCTGAAAGGTGGTACTTTTGAAGAAGTTCAAGTATTCTAATGTTAGATTTTTAATCTTACTTCCACCTACAGGATGCTTCATCTTCGTCACAGAAGGGCATTGATGGAAACGATCGAACTCTTTTGACATCACACCGGCGGGAGAAAATGCTCCAGGCCGCCTACTCTCTCTTCACTAGCGATCTGACCGCCGATTTTGTCGCTTCTCTGACCTCTGAGGCGATTCTCTTTCCCCTTGAAACTATTGCTGTTCGACTCTGTGTTCAAGGCACTAGAACTCTGGTGGATAATCTTGATACTGGTGATTCTGTTATCCCTATAATCACCTCCTTTGACGGACCATTTGACGTTTTGCGACATTCATCTTCCTCGGCTTCGGGTTTTATTGGTCTGTACCGAGGATTTGGCGCTCTCATACTGCAATATGCCGTTCAACTCGCCTTCCTTATCGGTGTGAAATATGCCTATGAACGTGTCCTCTACTACAGCTCTCCGACATCAACCCAACCACCTCCACCTCCGATTGGGAGATCTTCAATGCCTTCTGACTACGAACCAACCAATCAGCATCCATCCTCCTTCCAGTCTCCTTTCTACTCAACGGTGCCAAATCTGTTGGATCATCAACCAACAACATCGGTTTGGCAGCCGAATCTTGATTCAGAGCGTTGGAGGACCTCGGATCCAAATTTGAACTCGAAAAATGGGGCACCTCTGGTGCCGAATAGGTCTTCCTTTGTGTTTCGTGGTTACAGTCCTGGACCCTTTGATGCACCCTTGTAACGTAGCTTTTTTGAGCCATTCTTCATTCTCTCCTACCTGTCTGTCTATCTTATTTTTTTCCTATCTAAATATTACACGAGAAAGCTGGAAGTCAAGATGTCTTTTACTTCGTCGATGTGTGGCCACTCCGGCCTGAGTCTTTGTGCACAACGGACGCGCCCTTCTTTTCTAACTTCCCTCTTCGTACTGTCCGCTGCAATGGTTGTACCCTTGGAGCAATTTTATCGGTGCTGCCAACATTGTTGGGTCCGAGTTAATCCTCTAGAGGGTTTTAACTCACCCACTTTGCCGTTAGTAGGTCCGATTTCCTGGGAAGGGGAGCAGCTTTGGCAACTGGGATTCCAATCAAGCTTAGGACAAAGGGCAGGATTCTTTGTCTGCCCAATAAATTTGGCTACCAAGTCTCCTTTCTACCATCATTATTTGAACTCCATAAATGATGTCCCTCTAGCTCATTCTCCTCCTATTTTCCTGATTAATTCATTGCTCCAATTCATGCAGAACTAATGGACATTTTAACAGAGAGTAGCTGATACTAACCAGCACTTTCCATAATTTTCATACTTCCCTTCTTTTTTATCCTCCCACTTTGAAAGAGTGCAAAACAGTAACGGGACGGAATTTTTTTTACCGCGCGCACTATCCATGCTTATGTGCGATGGATCACTACCTTTGTCCCACCCCTCGCCTGTCGAGAGGGCACTTTTGGAGCATTCAGAAAGTAAAGCATACATAAAATGAGTATTTTTAGCTCAATTCTTTAGGTGGTAGCTGTAGTCTTTTAATCATTCTCAAGTTGTATCGCAATCCTGGCGACATCATCCTCCTCTCTCACCCCTTACCTCCACTCCTCCCGCCCCGCTGCTTTAAAGAGGCCTCCTAGCGCAACGGTAGTACTGGTCACGATGCCAATTATTAATTCTTGTGGTATAGAATAAAAGCAGGAAGGATTTTCTTACTTTTTTTAGGGCAATTTAAATTTCTGGTTAAGATGCTCTTCCTTTGTAGAGATTGTTAGGTTTTTCGAGGGGCCTTCAGGCGTCTGATGCTCTAAAGCGGTCTTTGTGTCCCAAATTATGGTCCTCGTAAGCTGAACGCCGATTGGAGCGGATGGGTGGGATTCCAACTTGTCTGCTTCGTGAGCCGAGTGTACATTACTTACGAACCTGAAGCAGAAGCTGCTTTTTCGTCGAATTTGTTGTGGTCTAGCATTTGAAGGAGGCGTAAATGTGGCAACTGTACACTGTATCCACCAGAACTGGCTTAAAATACATTGTGACGGTCAATTGCACAACCCTTACCACTCAAATGATGGATTGATGCGGGATAGACGGGTACGAGCTGGATGGCTATGGAATGAATAAGGAACAGACGCGCGGTGGATGTTTACGGAAGAAAGGTCCTCTATACTTGGTTGTGCACTGCAGGGACAAGACATTACGTTCGTATTGACGAAACATTTGATTAGCAGCTATTTTACCACGGAGTCCAGAGAGGGAGCTGTGATGGAATCCTCGAAAGAACTTAGGTACCATATGTATAGAAAAGTGATGGTAATTAAACAAAAGAACTTGCATCCTGTTCTTCATTATCTTACTTCACTAGGCCTTATTAAATAGTTAACCGACTGACTGATTGAGTTCTTGCAAGTTGTTCCGCTGTTTGTTAAACTTTGGCTGCCTCCACCAAATACTCGACTCTGCTGCTTGGATTAACCGCTCATGCCTTTTGAAGCAAGCACTACAGAAAGTAATGTCCAGGATACTGTGTCTACATTCTGTGTGTGGTAGACTACAGGCTGGATTGTTCACTAAAAAGTATTTATTGATGGCGGAACGACTAAAACTGAGACCTGTCTTTTCTATCCCTTCCTATCATCTCGCCTCTTCTATTCACCTAATAAGTACCATACGAAATAAGGTTGTGGAGTAAATTTTATTCAAAGGCAATCAGGATTAATTAGTTAATCTAGTGATATTTTTAGAAGTAAACTCAATGTCCTGCCCCGGCTTGCCGCAAAACCTACCGAAATGACAATTTGCGATCCACGTGAGGTAATAGAAAGATACTACCACCTCCTCCTCCACAGTCTTTCGATGTCACTTCTCCACGTTATAATTTTTCTAGGCACTAACTTTTAGCAATCACATTTAAAAGTAATAGACAGTTGGGAAGAAGAATTGAGGTGGAATTTGAGGCGCCTAGGAAGTTTGTCTTAAAAGGATCCCAACAATGCTGCTCGTTATTTGAATGAACAGAATATTTTACGTAGAAGACAACCATCTCACTACTTTTGAGTTTTTCCGTTTGTAATACGGGGGTTACTTGATCTCGCTCTCACCACTTGATCTTTTGCATTACTAAGGAAGAAATTGGCGTAAATTTAATTCTTGAGTATTAGAGGTGCATACGATGCTTTGGGTAAAAAATAAACTATTTTTAGACATTCAACAGCCAGATCACCGTCGCCTAATTGGTAGGTCTAAATATTGTTTTCCCGATTTAAAAATATTTTCAATTTTTCCTGATTCCGTAAAAAAGACTCCTACGATAATTGGCAATTGTCAGCAATGCATTCACTTTGTTGTTTTATGCAGAAAGCAAATTGATTAACACAAAAAATACATTAAAAGTAATTCAACTCCGCGTCAGACGGAGACTCAAGAGTTTGCGTAGCCGCCCCGAAAACTAAAACAAGTCCGACCTTAACAGGGGCGAAATGTATTTATAATTCTTTTATAATCTATTGATAAACCAAATTATGTGGCAAAAATACAGCCTTTTTTGCGAATAAGCTGGTAAATTTATGGCAGATCGAGTTAATTTTGTCTGCAATGTTATTAATTTTCCTCATTTTCTCATTCAATGATTGATGGTAGCCGTAATGATATGACAACAGTGTTTATGTCTCCTCCTTATCAAAAATGATTTATGCACATATTTTGGGGAATTTTCTGTCTCATCCAAATTGTCTCATTTCATTTCTCATGGGTGGGAGCAAAAATCAACTGTCATTAGAGCAACTTGCCTTTTATGAGAAAAACACACATCATCATAATACTCAGTAACATTCTATCATTTTGTGAACTTGTCGCATTTTTTCAGAATTTGTATACGAATTTGTTTCAAATGTCTAATGGGATTGCTCGGCCTCACTTCCAAAAAGTATTCTATTTCAGATACATTTACAGACCTACTATTCGTGGTGCTTTTACTCGGGATCCTAAATGAGTTAATAAAATTGTAACGGTTTCAGCAATTTCTGCTTCCTCCTCTGCTTTCACATTCTGGGTTAGCAAAGACCATCTTTTATCGAATAATTTTCCTACAAGTCCATAGGGAACTGAGGTTAAATGGGTTCCAAGGTCGTTTCCGCCATGGGGATCAATAGCGTCCTCTTCTCATACAATAGGTAAATTCAAACAAAAACCTGTTACAGAATAAATGCCTGAATCGAACGAGCGTGTATGTGTGTAGGCTTATGGGGTAATTTGGCCAGATGCTTAGCTACTTCGGCCTTTGCCGATCGTTTCGTAATTATATTATAGAGGATCCCCGATTGCTTTGTAGATCTCACTTGTGATTGATATGGTTCGTTACGGCTTCAGAGACAACTGGAGCCACAATTGATGGATAAGTCAACGGATAAATTGTTGACTGATCTGCTATTGCTAGGCATGATAACTTACTTTTGATGTTGTCTACACCGTCATCCCAATTCTACCTGTCCCTTATTGCAACCCCAAAAAGAAGGAGAAATATGTTGTCCTTAGATAATACGCCTCATTCGCAATTGATTTTATCTTTCAGTTGTAAGGCCTTCAAGTCAAAAATACAAGATTATTCTAATTTGTTTCTATGTTATGATTTAAAAGTGGAATTCCTAGGGGAATTATTCTAACCAAAAGCAGTATTTTACGAATCCTAGACATTTTATAGCAATCGGTATTGTACTCCTACCTCTAGAGTCATATCCTTGGATATGGAAGGCCGATTAACAGAGGACTTCGGGTGGGTGAAGTTTACAGATTTGCAAGAACTCATGAGCTATCAATCAGATCTTGTCTTCGCCGTGGCGGATGTTGACGCCCACTTAACCACGGGGTTTTTTTTTAAACTGGATCCTTGATGCCAAAAGAGGCTCATTCAAACCGTTTAGTTTATTTACTTTTGGTCGGCGAAACATCTGCTCTTGCGCTCCTTTCTGCCACACTCAGGACAGAGAAAATGAAATAAGCTTGAAAATAGTGCATCCCTCGGTATCAACCGAATGCACTAAATAATTCTCCTACTGTACCTTTTATTGTCTGTTAAACCGTGAAAGTGAAAGGACTGAGCAAGTTCTTGCATGGACTTAACGGGCAATGGGCGAGCCACTAACGAGGCGGCTACATTCCCAGCTTCTCCCAATTGTTGTTGCCTGAGAAATAAAAATTCAAAGCTGTCATCAACGATTTATTGCATCACCATGATTCTATCTACCACTTGGGCCATCATTATGCTTCTTCCAAGCTACTATAAAAGTGTCCCATTTGTAAAGCCCTTCCCATGTTGTTTACATGACACATTTGGCCGACCTTCCACGGACAAAAAGCGGATGCTTTGGTACACTCTAAGCCAGCCTTGCTTTTATTTTGCTTCCGTCACTTTTGCATGGCTTGCCTCGGCCACTACTGCCCTTCCGCACCGACTTAGTTAAAGCGACCAAAAAAGTTATAATCATCTTTTTGTTTACTGGGTTTTGGAGAGTTCACAATTCCTCTACATCTTTTTGTCAAAAAATAAAAAAAGATGCGACAGTTATGTTTTTCGAAGTTTCCATTTGCCCAGTGGCTAGCTTTTAAAATGTCGCGGGTGTGAATGACCGGAAGTCTGTAGATCCAAGTAAACTGACCAAACTTGCAAATTACTGCGTCTCCCTTTGAAGCAGTAAAGCTGCCCTTTACAAGTAGCCTACCACCCTTCTAAGTGAAAGGATCGAAAAAGTGTTGCAAGGTTACCTAACATAAAGAAATGATAGCAGAACAACAAAGTTGGCATTGCGAGAAATCTTGCCTATACAAAACACAAGCTTTGTCTAAGCGGGCTATTTTCTGTCAAAGTGGTGACAAACCACTGGGGAATGTATGTCACCAAGGCCATTTGATATGCCTAATCCATCGTCCCCTGTTTTTCATTTATTTCTGCTAATTTGTGAGGAGGTTTAATGCACTCCCTCCTTCAACTCTTTCTTCAAAAGTAATCGTCTCTGTAATTTATTAAAAATTTTCGAAGGGCGCCTCTTTTGTTTGTTTTAGTGATGAGTGTAGGAGATTCTGCCCTAGTATGAAGGTGACAAAGAGGCACTTGAAAACATCTTCACACTAAGAGGAGTAAAGAGCCCCCTCATAAGCTCTACTAAAAGCAGTATCAGAGGTTGAGAATTTGACATCTGTTTAATTTTGGATCAAAATCCTGTAACGGGATGTCACAATACCAGTCGGGGAGGGGAATGGCTTGGATATGTTCGTGCCCTGATGCGTGACCTATCTTGTAAAGAGATGAAATATATCACTCATGTTTCATGATGTGAGATTCCAGTTCCATTCTTCCAAGGCTTTCATTTCTTTTGCTCCAAAAAGCAAAGCGGATAGAAAGTTAATGAACTTTAACAATTCCCACTTTTCCGTTCCAGTTAAACTTTCTCAATTCTCACTGAATTCATTAGGGGATTCATTGCTTCCCCCTCCTCTTCCGCCACCTCCCTCACGTCATTCTTCTCCTCTCATTACTGCATTTAATTTAACTTAAAAAAACCATCTCAAACATAAAGAAGTAGTCTTGCTCAACCTTTTTACTTCTGTTTGCATAAAGGGATGAGGAATCACCTCGAGTGGATATTTAAGAATTTTTTATTAACATGTGCATTTAAATCAACGTGAGAAACAAATGCATGCATTTTAAGCAAAAAGCGATGGTAACTGTCAAATTCCAATTAAGCTTCCCTTCACAAAATTAATGAGAGAAATAAACTATAAACTTCCCACTTCTGCCATATTTAATATACTGACACTCTCAAATTTTTTTTTAAGGATGCGTTGCAATATTTATGATTTCGAGTTGAAGAGCCTTCTTCACCTCAATTTGTTGCAGGGACCTTTAAAATCGGTGTGATTTTTAACGTGTAAAACTTGACTAAGAAAAGCAGCTCGGTGCTAAAACATGTACACTTGATATTTTTTGAAAAAGTCGTCCGTCACTTATCTATAAGCAACAAACGATTTAATGAAATATATCATCTGTCACGTTCAAGGCCAAAGTTGATCGACTAAATCAATTTGTCACTTCATTCGTTATGAGCAATGTTTAAATTTATATCTGTGTTGCAGTTATGGGGTTGTTTGCGCTAGTTACTCTAAGCAGTAAATTTTGAACAGCTCGAAGCTGCGAATTATGCATGAAAGGTACATATTGCAACATTGTGGTCCTTATGTGAGGCAATAGTTCTATGCTCAAGAAAGCAAATATACTTGGGTCGATAACTTCTTAGGAATATTTTACACCATTCTGACACAAGTTGAACTCTTGCGTGCCCAAGTGTTCCTGTTACATACACTTTATAGAGTTCCCTGCATCCTAATGCGCAATATGTTTTTTGTTGGACCACGAAAGTAGTGTCCAGATCCAACTCAAACGAACAGCCTGCTTAATGTTCTTTACTGAATACCACATTAAAACCTTGCAGAAGATTGATGTCCGTTGTGGTCGTTGAATAAGCACAGGCGAAGTGGATAAGCTTTCGAGTGACGATGTTGACTTTTGGCGAGTATTTAATTTTCATTTCTGTCTAATAATTCACTGGCCATGATCACAACCCTAGATAAGCTTTTAGTCCTAGAATACCAGACCTTTATATTTTTGTGCGTTTTATGCTTGAACCGATTATGAAACTTCTAGGCGAATCTGTGCACTGCGTCGTCAATTTCTCCGAATATTAATACCACCATTGTTCCTAGGTTCATTAAAGCTTCGGCCCATTGTACAAGGATGATGCACTCTGCCAAAGAAGGTGGTACCTTGTTTGTTTGTCCTTTTTCATTTTGCTTGAAATCACAAGCAGTCTAGACGTAGATTAATTCCATCGGATTAGCAAGCCCGTAAGCACACATCATATGACCATTAATAAAGAAAAAATTGGCCTAATAAAAACCTTCGCTCTTTACCTACAAGACTGCCAATTTTTGCTGTCGAGTGAGGTTGGGCTTTTCTAGGGTTAGGGTTTGGCTTTGGGGTATGGAAATTGCCAAATATCTGCCAGATTTTTACACCGTTCTTTGTTTGTGCGGTTCATCTTCGGAGAAATTCCAAACCAAATCGGAGCTTATACTGATATCAACAGGTGCAAAAATGCCAGACTTTTCTTGAGGCAAATATGTAATGCCGACCTACACAGGGGCTTGGGGACACTGACGTGATCTGGAGACCAAGCCGCCGGTCACATGAACCAGTGGTTAAGTCCTAGTTGACCCCTAACCAAGACTGAGGGCTAAGCAAAAACTTAAAGTACTGCACACATGATTTTCGTCTATAATGAGGTTAGCAACATTTTAGCGGCTCCCATCGAATCAGAGGTTCCATGAAGAACTTGGAAAGAAAAATTTTCCTCATTTGAACTCACACATGGACGCGCATTAAACTTAAAATTGGTTACTTCCTAAAAAAATTAGGTAGAAGAAATACAGTGATTTGAATTTTATTACACTTTCTCTCCCATAATTAAACGAAACCCAGCAATTTCATTAAATTTAACGTCGTCACAAAAATGCTTTAACTGCTCCCGATCTGACATTGCTGCTTGAAATCCTCTATTTACCAATAAAAAAACCCACACTTTTTTGAAGTTTTTCCGAACTTTTGCCTTTGAAGCTTTCTATTTTTATTGATAAGCATCTTAAAAAAAAACGAAATTCAATTTACCTGGATTTGCTGGGTGAGCAGTTGTTGTGCCCGTGCAGCCACCGCTAGGTCGATTTAAACAAGTCTGCATTTTTAATTTATTTATAACTTTTAAGGCATTAGGCATGGCCCAAATACCTAATTAATCAAATGTCAGTTGAGTGAATATGTAACAAAAAGTTTTCAATTCTAACTTACAATTTCCGCTGCCGATTTCCTAGCGTTGCACTAACAGTCAACAAGGCAGCAGCTAATTTCCTTGACTACTTTAGGCGGTTTTATGCAAAAAAAATTTTTCATGAGTCAATGAGCGTAAATGGATCCAAAATCCAACTGCGGTCTTTCAACCATCTGCGATGCGGCAAGAAGTGTTGAGGTCGTGTTAGAGAGAACTTAGGAGGGAAAGGGAGTTGAGTGCTTACCTGCTGAAAGGCTGGAAGAGGTTGGGTGACAGCCTAGTGGAGGTTAGGAGAATATTCGGCATCAACGATGCTCTCCGCGGCAACTTTTCGACTTCATTCGACACAAACTTACCCTAGGGAATTCGATCCGTCGGAGCAGCAGCAGGGAGGAGTTCGTGTCTTGGGTTAAATATCACCAGCCAAATGTCGTTGACTTTGTTGGAATTAGCGAAAATAGTATCCCCTACAAATTAAACCTGGACTGATCCATAGGTAGTACGTGCTCTATTCTGCTGTTCTAATAATATAATAGTGGATTTATCACAGCTTCTTCATCTCCTTCTTCTTTTCCTTCTCCTTTTTCCTCCTCTTCTCCTTCATTTTTTAGTCTACTGCCTAATGGATGACATGGGAAAAGTGTTTTAGTGAAACCTTCACAATACATATATCGCCCTGTTGGTGAATGGGGGGTAGCAGTTGTAGATCTCTATCCTCTACAGGATAGGCAAGGACAATTAGTTGCCTGGGTAACATAAGCGATATGGGCGAGTTAATCAGCACAACACAGCATTCACCCCCAACACAACCTACCACCTTTCAACACCTCAGGAGTAAACAGTCTAAGACCTCGGACACCACCCCCACCCTTAGCCCTGTGACATATGTCATGGTTTTTGCCTCAGAGAGGCAATTGAATAGTTTTGAGGTGAGTGAAATGGGAAAAAGTAGGAGGACACCCTTATCACACATTTATGGAGCTCCGCTTTAAGGTAATTGTTTCCATCTCTCCAAA